TCTAGGAAGCTAATGTCACGCTTAGCTTTAGCTGAGAGTGACTGAGTTGTTCTAGAGAAGTCAATATGCAGCACTCTGTTTTTGTTTATGGAGGATGGTGATGGAGGTGTTATAGTCGTGTAATAGGTGTTTGGTTAGGTTCTAAATGATATATGGATACTTTGTGATTGATTTTGAGAAATAACGCACGAGTGGAATATGAGTTTGGAATTCAAAGTCAGAAATGGCACAAAAATGGTGTTTGAGAGCAATTCTGAGTTTGAGGAAGTTTGAGGGGGTTTCAAGGATTTTTAATTTGAGTCCTTGGTTTATAAATGATGTCTCTATTTATATGGAAAGGTTTGAGGACTTGAGATGATCAGAATCACATGTTATGGATTTTTCAAATGCATAAAGACAAGTTGCTTCATGATGAAGAAATGAGTGAATCAAGGAACTTAACCATGCTTTGTAGACTCTTGTGGATTGCTTCTGATATTGAGAGATTTGTTGTGATTTTTAGAACATATTTCAAGCTTGAAAGAAGAGATTTGTTGGAAAAGTGAAGCTTTATGCAAATGGAAATGTTGTTTTTGCATTTCTAACAATAAATGGTATCAAGACTTGGACAAAGCTTCAAATCTTTGTGTAATACACTTTGGGTTTGTGTAATTGCTTGATTATTCATAGATTTGGAGAGAAAATAGCCTGAAAAGAGAGATCTTGTAGCTTTGGTTGGGGTTTTGGTTGTATGTTCATCATCAAAATGATTTGTAATTCAAGAATGGATGCCCAATTTCTTCTCTTCGATTCTCTTAGCTCAAAAATAATTTCTTCAAATTCTTGGACATTTTGGAAATTTTGAAACATCCTCTACAACTTTTATGTTTTCCACTTTTTCAAAACTCAATTGGAACTATATGAAAAATGGCCAAGAAGTTGGGACAAAAATCTACCTAAACTAGGTCAAAATTTCACTAAGTGTTTAAGAAAAAGTGCATGACTTTATGGGTCTATAACTCAAAATCTAAGCATTTTTTTGGATATGAGTCCTTTAATACAAAGTTGTAGATCTCATCAAGATATATAACTCTCATGTTGAAAGTTTCCTTTAAATCATCTTGCATCTTGGTGAAAAATTGGCATGAAGTAGTGAAATTATGATGTACAAAAACACTTAGAAAAATTTATAAGTCTTAAAAAGTTTGACTTTTTAAATTGACTTTTGACTTTCTTGATTTCTTGATGATCAAACTTCATATTTTTGAATGTATTGATGAATTTTGATCTTTAAGACTTAATGTTGACCAAAAATTCCAAGTTTGACTTTTGGTGTATCAGTTGACTTTTTCATCAATTGACCAAATTTCATCTATCAATTGTTTGATCTTGAGGAATAATTTGAATCATGACATTAGGTCAAGATAATATGCTTGAATCCTTGAGATGTTTCAAACCAATAAGTCATGTATTTGGTCAAAAGTCCAAAACAGTCATTCTCGGTCAAAATCATAATTTTGACCATTTTGCCCTTTTGATGATTTGAACATTTTTCTTGAGGAATTATGATACAAACTTGATTAATTGCTGAATATAACTTCAAAATGTTGATATTGGTCAAAAATATTGAAGTTTGACTGTAAGTTGACCACCGTTGACTTTTTACCCAATACAGCTGATTTTCAATCATCTGATCAATTGACTGAGCAAAATTATGATCTAAAACTTGAAACTTGGAATGAGTGTTCTTGGAAGTCTATAATGAACCATGAAAGTAATTTGAGGCAATAGAAGTCCAATTGTCCCTGTGAAAATCAAAACCCTAATTTGAGGCATCAATATTTAAGAGGTGATTTGACCTAGTCAACACTTGTGCAATCTTAGGCTATTGAAGATCTTTGTGACAAGTGTCTTGAGAAAAGAGAGGGAAAATTTTGGGGTACAACACATGGCATAAAGAACCATTTTAGATCAATATAAAATGTCTTCCAATAAAAATACTCATTTTTGTAGATATTAAATAAATAAATATTAAAATATAATTATACAAGAAAACATTAAGGCACAACGTCAAAATATTCATTAAGAAATAAGTAAGTCTACATCAAGTGACGCTACTAACTAATAAGTCGCAAAAATATAGATAAGTTTTGATATTATCATTCTTAAACAAAACCAAGTTTCTCTCTCTCTCTCTCTCTCTCTCTCTCTCTCTCTCTCTCTCTCTCTCTCTCTCTCTCTCTCTCTTTCTCTCTCTCTCTCTCTCTCGAGAGAGAGAGAGAGAGAGAGAGAGAGAGAGAGAGAGAGAGAGAGAGAGAGAGAGAGAGAGAGAGAGAGAGAGAGAGAGAGATTCATCCCAAATTCAAAACAAAAGTTCTAAGAGATAGATAATATAAAACATAACTTCTATTAATTAAACTCATATATCATAATATTCTTCTTCTTGATCATCTCATCCTTCTTGTTCTTCTTCCATCTCTTGATGACAAGCTTCTCCATCTCCATTCTGCAAGGAACATGAAACATAAATTAATATAAGCAAATTATTCTAGACAAACAATAGAGTGTTTGGTAAATATATTCACAATAGCTTACTGTAAAGAAAAGAACTTCAGTTAGAGAAACAACGCAATATCTGAGAGGTTATAGAACCTTACTTCAGTGAGAGAAACAAAATTGGTCTAGGTGAAGACATGTGCAGATTAAAGCCTCGGACTAGCGAATATTAGGCACAAAAATAGAACAATAAAGTATCCGCTATCACTTTCTCCCTTTCCATTAAACTTGTAAGAATTTTCCATCATCAGAGACTGGTTAATCTTGCTTATTCAAATTCTTTCATCTAAATTGGACCAATGACTTGTTCCAACACTAATCCACTTTAGAAACAAAGTAAATCCATCTCAAAATATAGAGAACTAAACTAAGAAACCTTAAAAAAGAGGAAGTGATTAAATCTAACAAAATAAAAAGTGTAGCAGCGACTACACACAACCAAGCTCAACAACCAACCATTATCAGTATCATTTAAAATATAAATTTAAGCTTGCAATTAAATACAACAAAAGGAAAGATTAGAAGTCATGGAGGATTTTAGACAATACCTTTATATTGAAGAGGTCAAAATCATCGAGACATTGCATATTTGTTGAGGCTAGCTGACTCCGAGAAGCAAGATGAACAACAGAACAAATAAGAGAACCTTGTAACCGGTTATTCACAATTCCTTGTGGAGACGATGCAGGACTAGCCAACAGTGATTTCTTCGGCACCAAAAGCTTAGGAGGATCCATAGCTTTATTTACAATTCCACTATTCCTGGAAGACAGAAGATTTGTTTGGAACAAGAACCTCGTCGGCACAACACGAGAACCTTTGTGCATTTGTTATCCTACATTATCCTGAGCTCCTGAGGAACTACCAGTTGTTACGCTTTCGTTATCAGAAGGAACAAGTACTTCAGGTTCAATTTCACGTTCAGATCCGTCATTTTTTGTTGCTTTCCAATCTTAGGATTTCTTTTATCTATGAGAGTTCTGGAAAGTATTCGAAGAAAGATATGATGGAAAAAGAGATAAAATTGATGATGAGTAAAAGTCGAGAGAGAATGAAGGAAATGGTTTTTTGAAAATTTTAGATCTTTTCTTTTTCCGACCATTCAACACAAGATATTCAGACTCAAAAAAACAGTGAAAGAAAGAAAACAAAAAACCAAACATTTACCTTATCGGAGCCTTGCTAAAGAACACCAAACCGCCGCGGAAACCACCCGTTCGCCACCATTCCAAAACTCTGACTCCACAGGAGGTTGCTCATCCTCTTATATCACCCGAATCCTCCTTTAATTGTGCCTCTGTGTTGATTGTTGGTGTTTGAGACATTGAAATTTTCTTAAAAGCTTTTGTAGATCTATGGAGATTTTTGAATTTTCCGCAAAAAAATGTTTTCGAATTTGAAACCAAGGGGAACAATCGAACGCGGTGATGAGAATTTTTTTGAAACTGAAAATGTCACGGCGCTGCCGTCGTGAGAATGTCCTTCTCTACCGTCTGTTTTTCCTTCTTTCATTGTGTTTAATCCTCTATCTCTTTTAATTTTAATGATTGTTTTTGTTTATGGAAAGGAAATGGATAGAACCGTGAGAAGAATTTTAGTTCTAATTGTTTTGGTAGGGAGGAAGAGTCGTACAATTTTGGTTGGGAGGGAAGAATTTTTGTTTTTAGCACTCAATGAATTTTAACCAACGCACCATGTATTTACTTTTCAATTTTTTTCCTATTTTTAATCTAAAAAGAATTAGAAAAGAAAATAATTAATGAGAGAGAAACTAAAAAAAAGAAGGAAAATCTTGCGAGGTATATTTTTTGGTGCTTGGACCACAGTTTGAAGTGAAAATTATAATGCTGCGTTTTTTCTTTGTGGTTTAAAATATCTATTGTTTGTTAACCGTGACTTAAATATAACTGTGATTTTGTAACCGTGACAATTGAAGAAAATGTCACAGTTTCATACTCCAGACTCAATTTTTCAAAATATATGTCTATGAATTGAAATCCTGGCCAAAGATAATATGTGACCATATTTTTTAAATTGTGGAAAAATTTAGTGTGGCCGTAGGCCAAAAATATTGGCCAAAAGTATTGTAGTGAGATTATGGATTACACAATAAATTTTATACTACAATAGAAAGAAGAAGCGATATCATTAGCTCTTATCAAATGATTTGGATTGTAATATTTATTCTTAACATAACCATTGTATTTCTAACCAAAATAAACATTTTCTTTGTCTATTCATCTTCTTATTTATCTTGTCTCTCATGCATAATATGTACATCAGATATTTACTTAGCAGAGTCATCTAATTCTAAATAACATTGAGGAAACATTTAGAATCTTATGAATCTATGTTACTATAACTTAGTATTGAGTCAAGGCATTCACAACACATGTGTCACATATCAACACTTTTTGGATTAAAATATGCATACCATATGAGGTGTGGATGCTAGGAATACCAAATCAAATCATCACATGGAACACAATAGAGCTTGGTAAAACTGCAGGATTAACTTTCAATACTGATGAAGATGCTTCAACAATATGATTCTTGTCATCACAGTTAGATCCAAACCCCTTGAAAATTCCTCTCCCATTCTCGATTCCTATTGTTGACCATATAGAACTCATTACAACATCATTAGGGTAGTCAACTCTTAGTAACTTAGGAACCAATTCTTCATTACTATCATGTCTTTCTTTGTTTCTTTTTAAGCCAAGTTTTTCTTTCTCGGAGTTGGAATAGATGATCACGTCTCCATCTCTTGAATGTTTCCTTAGTGTAGGTTGACTTGGGCCACAAGATTGTGTTGGTACAAATGGTTGCAAGAAACCACCATAGTATGCTTTATTGGGATAACAAATTGCAGGGTTCCATGAAAACTGTGGAGGAAGACTTTGATAACTCTTATCAAATGTTTCTTCATATGATCCAACATTCAAGTTTTTGTCAGGTGAAGTTGAAGAGACATTACTCATTTGAGAATAATGCAAGACATCTAAAGGAAAATTAGTGAATTTGTTCTTACGGCGACCTGCTCCTACAAGCATCTTTCTGGCGGTTCCTCCAGAAGTCCAGTATCTCTGGCAGTTTTTGCAGAAGTGTCTTGGCTGTTTGACTTTGAAGTTGTTGTAGTAGCGGAATTTGGTTTCCATGCTTTTGCATCTTGGACATGGAACAATCATGTCTGGTTTCATTGGAGATTTGTCTTGTGACATATCACTTTGATCATCAAGTTTTGTGGAATTCTGTTGAGTAGAATCATTGGTAAGGACATCAGTGTTGTGTGTTATGAATATCGTTCTCCCAAAAAGCTTTATGGTTGAGACATTAATCTTCTCAGACATAATATTGTTCTATGTTATGTTTACTTGATAGTTTAGAAGAAAAAATGGATAATGAAGAGTTATAAAAGAAGGTACAATGGTTTGTGTGTTTGTGTCAAGAGGTTTTATAAAGGGAAAAGTTGAAATGCCAGATCAGAAAAGAGAATGTTTTTTGAGCCACGAGTTGGTTTAGCCTATGAGGTTTTAGTGTTGAGTTGCCAATTAGACTCACACACGTACTAGTAGTTATGAAGAGTCAAGATATCTTCTTTCATATAACTTTTTCATCCATGTCACTTTCCTTTTCAGCTTTTGCCTTTATGTCAAATAACATAATCTATATGCCTCGGTGCCAATGTTGGCTACCACTAAATGTTACAAATTGATTGGTTAAGAGATATGTTATTTGTTATGTCATTAAAAATTATTTGTGGCAATATTGTTTCCATTAATTATAATTCAGTCTATTGTTTCTTGAAATTTTCAATAAAGAAGTGTATAAGTAGGGATGATTAAATCTAAATCAATCTAAATAAAATTTTGAAAATTGATTTAAAAAATTAAAAATTTTAAAAAATTGAAATAAAATTTATTGAATGTATTTGAATGTTATTTTATGAGAATCGATTTTTTATTAATATGATATGTTATGTGAATTTATTATTAGATGATAATAATTTTTTTAATGATACTTATTAGTTTGGTATAATCTATTTATTTTTATTATTTCAACAATAATTGATCATTCTTGTATATTATATCATATTTATGATCAAAATTAAACCGCATAAAATTGGATCGAATCGAATGAGTTTGAATTAGATTCAAATCTAAAAATTCAATTCGGTCTAAACTGTAGGTCTAAAATGAAAACCTAATTTCAACCATTTATAATTTTAATTTTATCAGTTTATGATTTTACAGTTTGATGATTTAGCGGTTCGGTTTAAATAACAACCCATTTAAGTAAGTGTTGTTGTTTGTTATTTACTTTTTTTCAAAATTAAAAATTAACATAGCGTTATATTCTTCATGATCTCTAAATAAAAAAATGACAATATAAACTTTAAAATATTAAATTGAGAATACAAACATAGTGGATAATTAAAAGTTAAAAATAAAAATAAACGATAAACATATAAAACTACACCAACAAGAAGAAAACTACAATAATAGGAAGTATTTTGAAGTTTCTTGTTTTTTTCTATATCATTCTTCAATCTTCCATCTTCCCAATCAGAACTACAATAACAAGAAATTTATTATTCCTTCCCCTATCATTATTCAATCTCCCATCTTTTTAACCAACAACAACATCAAGCTTTCAATAAACAAAAGATATAAAGGAGATAAAGTTAGATTATTAACAATATCACAGTTCAACATTTAAAAAATGTATAGATCTAAAAAAAATGAAAAGAGAGAGTGGAGAGAGAGAGGAAAAGAAGAAAACAACGATTATAAAGTATGAATTTCAAAATAGTTTTATCTTTGATGAGTTTCAAATCTAAATGTGAAAGCAAATAAAGAGAGAGTGAAGAGAGAAAATAAGAGAGAAGCGAAGAAGAAGCAAGGTAAAAGAGGAGAGAGACATAATGAAACGGCTAGGGTTTTCAGTGATATATTAGTGTTGGAGTATATGGGTATGTGTGTATTGGGTCTTAAAAAAATCCAGTCCAGCACAATTAAGGGAATGCGGTCGAATTCAGTTATATTTGGGTTGTATTTGACCGTGAATCATCTTCGTTGAATCCAACCGCACTCGCGACTCAACCTTCGTCCATGACGGCTCACTTCGCCAACATCATCATCAATCCATTCCACTTCTTCCTCGCGATTTCCGGATGGCACAAAAACAAACAACTTGCCTGAATTTCAACACGAGCTAAAACATTGAGGACTCCTTGAATCGATGTATATCCATATAATCAAGATGTGATCTGAGATGATGAAAGTTGGTAGAAACGGATTCACCGGTGAGGTTTCGACGATGTTCACACTTACTCAGAATCTTCAAGTACGCACATCACTCTTTGTAGTTTTTCATGTTCTTCTTCTATTCGATTTCTTTTTCAATCCCTCAGTTTTGGTCTTTGAGATGTTGTTGTGTTTGCTACGATTGTTGCTCGTTCTTGAGAATTTTGTTGATACTGAAATTATGCGTTTTCATTGTTAAACACAGATGAGGATATGTTGATATTGATGAAGATGGTGATTGAAGAGCGAAGATAGAGGATCTACATGGATTTGATAATGATTGAAGTGCATAAGAACTCAGAGAGAGTTGAAGAGAGATTGCAGAAGAATTTTGTTAGAGGTTTTGTGGTGATTTTCTCAGAAATGTGAGGAATGTTGATGATGAAGCAGAGAGAATTTGACGGTTTTTCTGTGATTCTTTCAAAGAGTTTAAGAATGAGATAAATCTGGTGGATTTTTTGTTTATCTAATTTGTTATCAGTAGAAAAGTTAGTTAGAAAATAATTGGTTTGAGCCTTAGATCTTAGGAGTTAGTTATAGGATACAATGGACGAGATTGAATTAGAGGAAAACTGTCATGAATTCTGTTAGAGCTCTGTTTTGATTTTCCACGTTTTCCTTTTCTGCTTCCCTGAATTCCTGATTTTTCTATTGTAGTCTTTTTCTGATTTAAATATGTTGAGCTGGAAATTGATGCAAGGTCACGGTTTACTCTCTTTCTGATATTTTTTGTCCTTGAACAGATGCAGGGCATTATGGTGAGCTTATTTTTCTGTAGGTTTCAATTTTGGTGCAGACTTGGAACTGTTTTGACAGTTTGCTGTTAATTCTTGATTTTCTGCTATTTTCCATTGTTTTATGATTTTATGAACTGGTGCAGCTTATAGCATAGTCTCGGGTGCCATTTCTAGCTGGCAGCAACATATTTTCCTCGAGCCTTCATATCGGTTTGGAGAGGAATTAGCAAAGATCCTGGACTTATTTTGAAGTTTATGATTGGCATGCTTGTAGAAGCTTGGTTTAGGACTTAGAAAATTTCACATGTATGTTGTAATGATATTTTGATTTATAATGGTTCGTAAACCAAGCATCTTGTAATATTCTTGAAAGCTTTTCCTTCTTTTCTAATTGAATTCAAATTCTCCCTTTTGAATGAAATTCTTCATGTATCAAAATAAATCTAAAATTGTAGCTTGTATGGTAAGAACACAATGGGTTGGTAGCTTTCATAAAAATGAACTCGACTCCATATTTTGTAACAAAGAGACCTTGTATTTAACACCAAAGTTCTTTGAACAATAATGCATCTTGCATTTGCCTTTGTAATGACACGTTGGATTTCAATTTCGTATGCTTGAGATCTTAAGAAAAATAATCATTTGGATACCTTGAACATAACTGGAGTTTATGGAATCAATTGAATCAATTTCAAATCCAAATCAGCTTGCACATTCTAATCCCAAAATCCAAATCAAATAATAACAACACTTTGCACACAATCTGAATCCCCAACATTCTCTTTGTACCATGACTTATACTTTACAAATCAACCAATAAGATATTTTAACTTGACCAAATATCTCTTCCTTTGGGGTTCTTTATCAAAACAAAACCCATGAAGAATCTTATATTAGATATCCAGTAACTATGTTGATATGCAAACTTAGTCTTCTTTCCATGGATGTAATATTTAATGAAAAAGTAGCTTAACAATAAAGCCATAGTCCACAGTATTCTCAGTTAAAATCATTGAGGAGAAAGAAATAAGTCTTCAATGGTCACAATCACAAACCCTAATTCCTCGGACCAAATTTGATGAAGGAACACCTCAAGGTCAGAGAAACCTTAATTTTCCAATTCAATGCTCAGAGGAGAAACAGACGAACCAGTATTATTCGATATGTGCATCTCAAAACATCATGAGAACGCTAGCTCACACAACCCATGAATTTTGAACCTCATGGTACTTTATGGAAATGCGAATTTATGCTGTGAAGATGAATGCAAAAGCCTAAGCCAGATAAAAGAAATTAAGAAGGAAAATTTTTGGGTATAACAGCTGTCCCTATTCAATCTTCTTAAACCTACAGCCAGATTGGCAACGACAGCCTTTCGAGGGATAAGGTGGAAGGATATTGAATACAAAAAAAATGAACTCAAAAATTTGCACTCTGAAATGAGACAACGTATATCAACATAGGGTAAAATTTTGATGGCCTCTTGGGACTGGACCAAAGAACAAATTTATAGATGGGAGATAAAAATCAAATAACGCATAACTTGATCCAAAACGCTAGTAATGACTAGACTTTACAGAATTCCAGAATGCTACATTCTGAGAAAGTCAGTAAAGACCGAAAGATGCTAGTAACAACTAGACTTCACAGAATGCCAGAACGATGATTCTGAGAAAGAAAAATAGCCTTACAAGGGAGGACTGGTGTTGTACCCCAAAATTTTCCCTCCCATTTCCTCAACATTTTCTCATCACAAGACCCTTGAAGATCAAGATCCAGTTAGGGTTTCCTCTGCTCAAGACTTCTCCTTGCACTGTGGACTCAAATTAGGGTTTGTGTTTGCCCAAGGATGTTTTGACCTAAAATGCCTAAGATGACTTTCATTCTTCCTATTAGACTCCCAAGTTTATCCTCACCAAGTTTCAAGTCTTGATTCCAAATTTTGCCCAGTCAATTGGACAGTTGACCTAGAAATCAGCTGTATTGGGGAAAAAGTCAACTGTGGCCAATTGACAGTCAAACCTCATGAAATTTGATCCACATCTACATATTGAACTCATATGGACCATTTGATCAAGTTTGGGTCACAATTCCACAAGAAATTTGATCAGATCACCAAAAGGGCAAAATGGTCATTTTTAGGGTTTTGACTGCACAAAGGCAATTTTTGACTGTTTGACCTAGCCAATGGCAAATCAAGCTCACATATGGACTCAAGGACTCAATGAAATGGTCTTGACACATTCCACAAGCTCAAAAGATCCCAAGTACACAAGATTGACAGTTGAATTTCCCAGTCAATTGATC